CTGCAGCTTCCAGGACATACTCAGGGCACAGACAGGCTTGGGACAGTAAGAATCCAGCAGATACTTACCTCCTGCATCCCTCTCTGCAGACAGAGAACAGCATCCACTTGGTTTCAGGGACGTATTCTCCCAGGGACCAGCACAGTCATGCATCTGGCAGGATCTAAATGCTCACAGGGATTTCTAAAGCTTTCCAAGAATAGCCTTCAGTTGCTGCTAGCTTCCACCAAAGCCCTGCCCAGACCAAATCTGAACAGCCCCTGAATTATTTAGAGCTCATTTATTACACCTGGGTCATTTGGAATGACTCATTTGTAGTGCCTCCAGTTTGAGGCATGTGGGAGAGATTAATTACCCCCCTTGCCCGGGTCCTGTCTAGACTGGGCAGCTGAGGTGTGTCCAACAGACCAGGGACATTTGGCCAGGCTAGGTTTCACACAGGGCACAGAGAAGCTCTGGAAATGAGCTTGGCTTGACAGGAATTGCCAGTGTCACATTTCAAATGCAGGGAAGAGGGAGCAGGTGATGTACAAACACCCAAATTCTCACCCAGTGCCTGGGGCTCATCCCATGCTCAATGTCTGCAGGAAGCAATACAGGCAGGGGCACTCCCAAATCAGTGGGAGCAGCCCTGGGAAAGCAAGTATCCAGCAGGACTGGCCTCCATCACCCCCAATACCTGGGGGTGACAAACACCAGCAACCTCCAGGGATCATTACCTGTCAGTGAGCAGCTTTACAGGACAAACAAGAAGTTGGGCTGAACCTGGTGGGATTGCTCCTTGCATCCTACTGTTGGGTTACTGTAAAACATTCAAGATGGAGCAACACAGGGAAGGCAGGGGGATGCATCCTGCTCACAGCCTGCTCCTCCTGATCTCCCTCTCTCAGCTCTGAGGCCACTTATCCCTCAGTCTATTCCTATCCTGTGAGAAAAACTGTCACAAATGTCTTGTCAACATGTGTGGGCCTTCCTGGCCCCACGACTTGTGTCCTGCACTGACATCACCCCATCCATCCTGCAGAAAGGATACAGACAAGTTGGAAACCACAGGATTCCAGCTGCTGGGACTCTGGGCACTGGCCAGAGCTGGCAGTGCCATCCCTCAGGCATGGGCTGAGCTGGGATCACTCCACAGCATGCAGGGCTGCAAGGAAAACCTTGTCCTTCACAGACGCCAAGCTTCATCCCCCAGCTGATGGCTCCACATGCTGTTAAGCCTGTATGAACTCTCCCAGAGGATAGTGTGGACACCGACATGTAAGGGCAGGTTTGGTAACTGCTGTTTAAAGGAGAGGCCTCGCTTCTGGCTGGTAGGGACAGGCAGAGCCTCCTCTCAAATTTCACACAAGGATGTGACCAGAGGGCAGGACAGTGCTAAGGCAAGACACAGACTGCCTCAAGACATGGGACTGAGCACTTTGCTCCCTGGCTCCCCTCTCACCTCCCAAATTCTCCAGCACCCACAGCAGTTAGGTCTCCTGCTCCACGAGCCCATTTCCCTTCATGGGAGTCATAACCCCTCCCACAGCCAAAATAACCCCTGCACCCAGCCAGGGATGGTCACTCGGGGCCAACAGGAGCTGTAGCTCAGCACACAGAGCTCCCAGGGAAGGCGAGGCTCCTCCTCAGGCTCTTTCCAGCAGCAGAGCCAGTTTAAGAGGTTCCTACCCCACCCTTGTCTTCCCATCTCAGACTTCCAGCCCTGTCAGGTTTACTCACTACCCCAGCATAGACAACAGCTGGGATTAGATGCTCCCCCCTGCTGACTTCTATCCATGGCATGATCCACAATTCCCTGAGGCAGCATTCACCTCAGGGCCACCAGCTCCTGGGGCATTAGCTGAGGAAGAAAACCTCTTCAACCAGCTCTGCCACCCCAGCAATCCTAACTGTGAACCACACCCTGAGACACTGCTGGGAAGGCTGTGATGAGAAGGATTTGTCCTTTGGATAATGGCACTCCCCTGCTGTGGTCCCAAGCCATTCCGAAGTGATCCAGAGCTGCTGCCCTTCATTTCTCACCCCGAGCATTGTCACTGCAAGCACACAGCAGCACTGTGGTAATGTGCTAATCCCAGCTTGCAATTCACGGGGCTTTGCTAGTCTCAGTTCACAGCACAAGCCTGCCAAAATGATCCTTGGAGCAGGCAGGTGAGATTTCCTCACACTTCCAGCACCCAGGAATACGGCAGGACTGCTCTGCAAAAGCGCAGGCAGCCTCTGTGAGCAGCAGGCCAATGGATCTTTTTCTCCAGAGCCTCTAAAGAGTCCAGGCTGCTCGTGGGGAGCCCAACAGCCTGGTGTGACATGGGCTGGGTGCAACCACCCAGTGACAGCCAGCAAAGACATCCAAGTCTCAGAGAGGGACCGTGGCACTGTTAGTGCCAGGGCTGGACTGTCACTCAGGCTCAGGACACAATAGAGCATTTCAGCTCCTCAGTTAAGGGCCTGCAAAACATGCAACTCCAGCTTGAAATGCTGGCACCTCAGCCCAAGCCCCAAGAACTGCCTCTTAGGGAGCTGGGCAGAACAACATTCACACATAGTTAGCAGGAAACTACTCCACAGTGCTTGTAAGTCCCACCTCCACTGCTCCCTGTCTCTAGGGGAGGAACACAGATATCCCATAACTTGCTCCTCTGTGTCCTCTCCACACACAGCATCACCCATTGCCTGCGTGAGCCTCCCAGACCTCACCAGGACACAGCCCTCCCCTCGGATTGTCGTGGATGGGTGTAAGACATACTCCCAGTGATCCCTGAGTCCAGAGCAACTCACCCAGGCCTGTGTTATCCTGGGAGCCATGGATGCAGAGCCTGAACTAGGAAGCAAGTACAGTTAGGGCAGTGCAACCAATCAAATTGTCATTGTGCCACACAGGCATGTGTGACCCAGCAGAGAATTCCTGCAGGAACATGACTACACCTGAAGCAGAGGTGAATTTCTCCTCCAAACCCAGATGTTTCAACAACACCGATAAATTGATTCAGAAAACAGACACACATCAGATTTTTGTTGAAACAGAGGAAGGCAACATTAGTGCAAACTAAATAAAATAACACAGAACACTCAAGATTTCTGAAAACATGCTCATGAATTTCATATTGTATGAAATTCAGTGTTTTTCTGGATCTTAGAGTTAAGTATCAGAAACAAGGGCACACACTGTATCTCAGACTCCAACAATTTCCTCTAAGTCCCGATGGAAACCAGTCAGGAAAAAGATGCTGTCAGTGTGATTACCTGACACACCAGAGAACTAACCTCCTCTACCATCTCAGATGGCACCATCAAACCACACAATTAATTCAGCTCCTTCACCACCATAAGCTATTCTGGTCCAGGCTGTTTGGCTGGTAAGACTGCTATCACACCTGGATTGTTTGGTTTTTTTTTAAATACACTTACTTTTTGCTAGTTGAGCCCAGTCACACACCAGAAACACAGTTGAGAGCAGCAGAAACACACTGTACCACAAGCTCACTGCTTCCCTACTTGAAATTTTTCATTTAGGCCTACTAACCCAGCTCCCAATTCCAAGGCATATATGGGATATTCAAGGAAGTCAAATCATGCTCTACACAAGAAAAATAGTAATCTTTTAAGAGTCCTTCAGCGAGAGTGTTACTGACACAGGACGAGCACATAATGAGCTGGAAGTTTCCAGGAAAAGCATGGCAAGAGGTAGGAGTTAAGCCTCACCCACCACACAGGGGTCATGCCTCCTCCTCTGGGCCTCAGGCCAGCACAGACAACACATGAACACGAGGCCACACAAGTCCAGGTGAGCCTCACCCTGCTGCCCATGTGCGTTCCCAAACCCCTTAAGCACAGAGCTCATCAGCCTGCAGGCATTTATCCAGCTTAGCACATTCTGCTGGAGCCCAGCCCACCCGCACCAGGACACCAACTCCTCTTGATTTTTATTTGAGAAATGATAAGCATTTTTAAACTGACAAGTTCCTGGCTGATAGTCCCCTTCACCTGCCATATCTTTATCCAGATGTTTTGGGTTAGTCCTGGATCACTCCCCAGTCAAACCAGCACCTTGAGCTGCATCCTGAACAGTTGTGGGAATAAATATGTCAGGATGAGGGAGGAGGTGGGACTGCTGCTGATGCCAAATTAAAACATCCACCAAAGCACTTGGGAACTTCCTAGAACATCTTGAGGATGAAGCTTAATGCCAAGAACCACAGCCTCACACCAAATGATTCCAGAGCATTAAAGGATAAGGATTTACCTTTATGGACAACACACTGAAGGTGAGGGTACAGGTACTGCTGTGACTCAGAGAGGGACTCCACCACTTGCCCCCATGGGAGTTTGCAACTGCCTCACAACAGCACGGGAGACACAGCGGCTTCCCTCCTCTCCTGGAATCCCTGGGAATAACACCTCAGACTCTAAGAACAGCTGCTCCCAAGCTGTTCCCAGTTACAACCCAATTCCCAGACCACTGATTCATGCAGTCCTAGCAAATAGCAGCACAAACATCAGAGCTCCTGACAGGGCCTGACTGGGACCTGAATGCTGGAACAGCTCCCTTCAAAAGAAAACATTGGGAAGGGATGCAGGCACAGGAAAACTGGAGCTTGAAGCTGGAGCTGGTTCCCCCAGATTTCACAGACACTCAAATCAAGAATGGTAACACACAATATTTCAGGTCCTCTGCTTGCCACAGAAAAAAAACTATTGACACAGAAACTACACTTACACCAGTTTCATGTTCCTATCCCAAAGCTCCTGCCCCAGCCTCAGCCTCCAACCTCCCCTTTCCAGAGCTCAGCAGCCTAATTCCCTCCGTTAGGACAAACTTGGTGACACAAAAGGACCCACAAAGCCACCTAAGCCAAGCACACACCTCTGCACAGGCTGCATCCATTCACCACCTGCCTGTTTTGGTTGTTTAACCCTACTGTTGGGAAAAGCCTTTCCCTTCTCCAGCTGCAACAGAAGCAAGACTGGAATATGGTTATTTCAAGGCCACTACTGACCAGTCTTTGGCTGTAACGGATCCGTTCTTCTTCGGGCTCCATCTCCGACTCCTCTGAAGAGAGTGAGAAGGACACGCCAGGACTGCTGTCGTCGTCCTCTTCCTCCTTGGAAGTGAGAGGGAAACAGTGAAGAAGGGCACGGGGACACCCACAGCCCTCACTTCCCTTCTCCTTTTGGGGTCAACCCCAGCCTGCTCTGGGGGCTGAGAGAGCCCAGTGGATGAGCCCAGTCCAACTTTTAAGGCTCCTATTCTAACTTAGAAAAAATGTCAGGGTAAACAGCTTCACCAGCTCTTCTGTAACACAACAGGAGCTGCAGGTCTCCCACCTTGGCTCCACACTACCACCACCAGCTTTGCTGGACCACAGGGGGATAAAAGCCAGGGAAAGTGCTATCAAACCATGACTTCCTCAAAATTAAACATTGGAGAGTCAATTCCTCCAAACAACACAATCACTGTCCTTGGGATATCGTGTACTGTGGCACCTGGGAGAAACTACACTTGTACAGGACATCTCCCATGATCAGGGAAGGCATATAGGTTCTCTCCTACATACAGCACCCAAGCAGGGAAACAGTTAGGAATCTAACTCCTGGCTGGAGGAGACCTAAATGCTGAGCTCTCCAAATGTGCCACCTTGTGACACCACACACCAACCTGGGAAAACCTCCCAGGGCGTCAGATGGCACCTACACTTTTTTTTTTTTTAAAGGGACAGAAACCAGCCAAAGCCTGGGTATGGCACGGCTTTTAATCCCCAGGACTATGCCTCAGTCAGGCCTTGGGATCGGGGAAGGGGATCCGCCGCCCCCTGTAGTGTTACAGAACCGCTACGACCACATAGGGAGAACTCGCTCCATCCTGCTCCTTCCCGACCCCTGCTTCGACAGCAGAGCATTCCCAGTCCCGCCAGCACCTTCGCCACCCCTGCCTCCCTTAGAACCACGGCACCAGGACTCCCGGCTCGGCCGAGAAAGGCAGTTTCCCCACACTTGCTGAACTCTGTTTATAAACAACCGGACAACCGGAGCGCAGCGCTCCCGCCCCGACACGGGGGAGGGGGCCACCCCCGGCCTGCCAGGCCACCCCAGACCGCCCCCGCCGGGGCAGGACGGGAGGCGGGAGGGAGGGAGG